AAATTGTAAAAAAATGTACCATGAAAGGCGTAGCCCCATCGATTTTTTTGAGGGTGCGGTTGTGCCTCACAATGGGGGCAAAACCGTTTTTTTCACTAAGTGTAGTTTTTGTGTAATAACATTTTCAAAACCTGTTTAATTTTTTTCTTAAATGCATCAATTTAAAGCTTAATGATGTGGTTATTGAAATAAACTGCTAAAAAAACACATTTCGTTTTTATTTTCATATAACATTATTCCAAACGTTACGGGGGCGGTTATGCCCCCACTTCCCCTATGTTTTTTGATGACACGGGTATGATTAGAACAACTTTCATTTTCAAAATTTATCATGCTTTAGAAGCATGATAAATTTTGACTTTGCAAGTTTTTTTATTAACTTTTTGTTGTAAAACTGATGGAATGTACAAATCAAACGAATCTTCCATTCATTTGCATGAAATTTTTGAGCCTATAAACCCCAATCACTGTGACAGATAAGAAAACTAAGATTTAGGAATAACCGTACTACCTTTTCCTTAAGAATAAAAGTTCCGTCAGCAGTATGAAGTAACTTTCATTTTTAGAGACTTAAATAAATCAATAATATCAATATAATATTAGCTTTAAATATTGGTAGACATAAGAAATACAAAATGTAGACATAAGACATACAAAAAGGAGATTTGAACTAGTTTTATTATAATTTATAATATTTTGTTTTAGATGCCCCAAGAAGAATTAATGCACAGTTTCACAGAGCACCGCGGAAGAGCATTTAATTAGAAAGTTCACGCCTCCTTCTTTACCAATGGCGCAAAAATATGTCCAAAAATGACCAGAAATTATAGGAGAAAAACCAAACGTGCATTCTTACCTAAAAAGTTAAGGGTAGGTGTAAAAGATGTCCATTTTATGAAATATTTAGTAAAACTTTACTATTTCATAAAATGGACATAATCATTTTCTAAACATCTACAATTTATTAGAAATACACGACTTTATATTGAAAAGGCCTAAAATCATTTAAAAACCTTTATTTTTTTTACGGGGGAAATTTTTTAATTTTTTTTATTATAATTAAAATATCTTTTATCTTTAGTTTAAAACTCATTGTGTGGCACCATGGCCATACAAGATTTAAAAAAAGTTATCACCCTAATGTACACTAAAAAATTAAAGAAAGAAATTTTATGTTTGATGCATAATAATAGTTCAAATTTATGTTTTGCGAATTCTGACTTTACAATTATTTTACTAGTAAACATTTAGCCTTTGAATATGCAGAAAAAAATTGTAAAAAGTATCCAAAAAATGGAAGGAATGGAAGTTTTCATGACCTGATTGGCTCTCGTTATTCATGAAACGTTATCTTAGTCTACCAATACGATTACCTGAAGCTACGGGTCTCGCTCGAATGACCAGTTACAATAGAACAAAAGTAACAGATTTTCAAAATAAGCTTCATGAACTTATTACACGATACAATTTCACAACATCCCAAATTTATAATCTGGGTGAAACTGGGTGACCAAAGTCCAGCATGTTTCTAGAGTCATAACTCAAAAAAAGACAGCACCAAGTCGGTCGAGTGACGTCACTTGAAAAAGGAGAATCGGTAACACATACAGGAATTATATATATGGATGGTCATGTCTTACCACCATTTGGATTTTTCGTTGCCATCACTTTGGTAAAAAGAAAATAATACAAGGTATTCTAGAATCTGCAGGACTTGGTTTGGTTAACCCTTCTGGCTTGATGATAAGTGAGAATTTTGTTAAGATGTTAGAAATTTTTTTTCAGAATGTCCGTTGTTTTGCACAAAATAGGGCCATATTGATCACGAGTCCCATTAATCTGAAGACGGACTGAATTACATCAAAGAAAATAAAGTTATCCTCCTTACGCTACCACAACATAAATTAAATAAACTTCAACTATTAGACCCCTAACCCTGACCATTAGACAGAACTTAGTAACTTACGGATTGTACATATTTACACAGCAAAATAAAAACAAAACAAAACAAAATAAAACTGTATTTTGTATATTTATACATTATAAATAATTTATATTATAAAATATTATAATACTATTTACATAATAATTCCAAAAATTAATATTTAAAGTTTCACGGCACTTGAAAGCTTTTGCTTGTTACACAGTTGTTGTAGACAGTTGTTGCTTGTTAAGTAAAAATTAAAATATGAAGAAACTGCAAAAAATTTTATTTTATATTGTTTTTGAAAAGTACAGAACTACGTAATAAATTACTTTTTGAAAAACATTTCAAAATATAAAGAATAACCATCACTTTTTGATTATTTTTACATACTTAGTATCATATTTATAAAAACATCAAAATTTTAGTTTTGCATTTTTTTTTTTTATAAATGCAAAAAAAGAAAAAAATTATTACTTGAAAAATTCAAAAAAAAAAAAAAAAAAAACTTTTTAAGTCTTAAGTGTTTTAATAAATATTAATTTATTATTAACCACAAAGAAAAAAATTCATTTGATTTTGTTTTTTAGTGTTCTAAAAAAGAAACAGTCTATTATATTTTTACATTATACACTAGGCTGATAACTTATTCAAATTTTTCAATTATTTTAACGGCCTTAACATTAAAAGATGAAAGTTTTTTAGGGACTGTGAAATTATATATAACTTTATGATTGGTTTTAAAAATGTCCCCCATAGACCACTTTTTTTAAACTAGCTAATTTACTTTCAATATCACTTGATTCAGTATTTTTCAGTTTTTTTTTTCGATATACAAAACTTTACTAAAGTTATTTTTTAATGTGTTAGTGCATTTTTTATAATGTAGTGTTTAAAATTACAAAGAATACTTCACTATTTAAATTTTTTTAGGTAGAGATGTATAAAATAAGCAGTGATATTGTAAACAAAAACAAGAATACTTGGAAAAACAATTTAATTCAGTTTGAAAAAGTAAAGGCAAAAAGAACAAGCTAATTAGAATTCCATATGCGTCGTTTTGGGGAGGTTCACTTACTTGGCCTATTTAGAGAAATCTGGTTTTGGAAGATGCAAAGTTGTCGCCTGTAAATTAGTTTTATTATTGAATAAACTGAACTTTCTAGCGATAACGGAAAAATTATTTTAAAGAAAAGTTGAAAATTTCATGAATAAATGCCGCAGAGATCAGAAGGCGCAGATAATCAGTATCAGCTATTAAAATGAAATATTATTTGAAATATAACAAATAAAAAAGGTATATGGCTGAGTACTGAAGAAAAAAAGTTTTACAAAGTGCAAGTTGAAAGAAATGGAAAAATAGTATATATTACTTCAAAAATTGTTTTAACTCATCCATCTAAATGTATCAAAACTAAAGTAAATATTGTCAGCAAAACCATCAAATAGAAATCACTAACTCTGAATATAGTAACAGTGAAAGAGAGAATATAAGTTCCTTTATTTTAATTATCTGCAGCTGATTTTTTTTTGGAAGTATTAAGCGATAATAGCTGTTATAATGTGTTAAAAGCGGATTTTGCATTTTAAATGGATTTTAAATTTACTAAAATATGCATTTTTTTAAGTATTTTCATCTAGTTAAATATACGGAATATTTTATTAAAAAAACATCAAGTAACAAGTACGATTGTATAAAGAAAAAAAAATGTTTTTGAGCATATATTAATAGAAATAAAACAAAAATAGAGACGCTAGTATTTTTGATAGCATAAAATAGGTATATTTCGGGAGCTTTAAAATTGGTTGAATAATTATATCTGCAGCTTAATTTTTTTAAAACAATATATGTTTAGATTTAATAAAATCATATTGATTGAGTCCATGCATACGGACTTTAGTTTAAGGAAGAAGTTGAAATTGAAGAAAAAACTTTTAATTTATACTAATTTTTAACATAAATAACTAATTTTAAACATAAATAACTAAGTATACAATGATAAAAAACTATTATTATTTCAAATTAAAATCTATACTATAACATTTGTTTTTAAAAAAAAAATCTATACATAAGTGCACACAATTTTAAATTTATACAGAAACGAAATATTTTTGAACAAGAAATTATTCATCGATTTTTAATTGCTCTTGGATACGATTAACTTTTCTTTCAAGAAAAAATATGAAAACTATATATTTTTGAATGGATAATATTATCCATTCATTTTAAACACAACATTATAATGTTGTGTTTAAAAAATAATAATAGTAACAAAAATTTGAATTTTTTTTTTAAAATATTGTCCAAAATTCAAGTTATTTAGACCACTGTGCACTGGTGTAATCAAGAAATTGTTATAAACACTGCAAGATCCAATATTTGTGCAGAACGTGCAATAAAAACAATGCAATAAATTATGGTTTATGCAAAATCTGAAAGAACAATCAATAAAAACCAAATTTTTGTTATAAAATCTATAAGTTATACTGGTACTAATTTTTTAAACATCTATTATTTATTAGAAATACACGACTTTATATTGAAAAGGCCTAAAATCATTAAAAATCTTTATTTATTTTTTATTATAATTAAAATATCTTTTATCTTTAGTCTCATTGTGTGGGACCATGGCCATACAAGATTTAAAAAAAGTTATCACCCTAATGTACACTAAGAAATTAAAGAAAGAAGATTTATGATGTTTGATGCATAATAATAGTTCAAATTTAAGTTTTGCGAATTTTATGTTTTTACTTACGACAGCAGGATGGCAGTACCGTATCCAAAGATAGCAGATGTTATGAATTATCTTTTGAAAAGCTGCCAATATTTTAATATTTAAAACTTGAAAATTAGTGATGAAAAGGGTTGGTTTGGGTAAGAGAAAATGAAAAGGGTTGGTCTGGGTAAAAGAAAATGAAAAGGGTTGGTCTGGGTAAAAAATTTGCTGTGAACATTTAAATAATTTGTGGCAAATACTTTTAAAAAATTAAATCTATTTTTTATATTAAAAAAACGACAAGTTTTTCATTTACAAATTATATATTAAAATCTATTGAACGTTTATATAAAAATATAAATATTTTATTTTACAAATTTAAAATGCCGCAATGCAATTAAAATATATGAAATTTTTTTATTTAAATATCGAATAATTTATAAAAACACACTTTAAAATTTTTTAGAGAGAGACAAGTTATTTGATAGAACTAAATTTTAACAAGCAAATCGAATTGCAACTAAGGGAAAAATTTCTTTGTAGAGTAGGCTTCATCAAAAGAACCTTTTCCATGAAGTGTTAACTTCTGAGGTTGTTCATTAAACAGAACATCGAGAGTTGTACGTATAAAAACATCGCATTCATATTCTACCCCATGTCTAAAAATATAAAAGCTAAAGATAAAACTTAAAAATTTCTAATGTAACAAATGAAAAAGTTAAAAATATAAAAGGAAAAAAAAAAAAGAAAAAAAATTATTAAAAAAATTACGCTGGGGCAAACTTTATTTTGACTTTAGCTTCGTTTTTATTGGCATCTTTAGCCTCGTTTCTTGCAGCGCTTGATGCTTCACAAGCTATAGTACCAAATGTTTGAGATATATGAAATACTTTGTTAATAGATTCCGGACAGCTCAAGTCTACAAATAGACAAAATGTCAAGGTAAAAATTATTTTAAATCAACTTATTTAAGTATATTGTTATTTTTCGAAAGTTATTCTTAAAAAGAAAAATACTATTTAGATATTTAAGAATTTATAAAAACTAAAAGTAAACATAAACCTTTATATAACTCCCAAAGAAGATCGGTATTACTTGCATTTTGTATAATTAAGATGTCTTCACTCACTTCGCCTACGAAACACGTTTCAAAATTAAATACTTTTTTTTGAACAGTTACAAAAGGATAAAGTAGTTGACCAGTCATGCAGCATATCTAAAAAATAAATGAGCATGCAGTCACCTAAAAATAACGAATATTTAAAGTTAATACCAATATATTGTTATTAAACAAAAAAATAAAATAAAAATAATTACTTAGGCGACAAAAAAAAATTAATCAAATAAAAACAATTTTTAATGACTTACAATTCTATTGAGCCTAAACAAGTTAAATATAAATTTATTGGCTTTAAATTATTTTATTCGGTCTAAAAAGGTATAGATTATAAAACAGACACTTTTCACAAACAATTTAGACAGAAACATAAAGCCGTTTAGCTATTGAAAAAACTTTTTCTTTCATTGCAAACAGCACAACTTTAGATAATGGAAGACATTGTACGCCCGTACAAATAATGTTCACATAATAGATATCTTATTTGTACGCGACAAATGTTTATACTTTATTTTTCCAGCGTAATTAATATACTAGCGTAATGCAATGTTGCGTTTAATTTCGACATTTTTGCATTCAATTTCGACATGTGTCGCATCACATTTTAACAATTTAAAAACAAATTTCAAAATTTTTTATATTAGTAATGAAAATGTTTGCTAAATAATAATACGTTGTATTTAATTGGGCAAAATAACTAACGTGGTTAATTTTTAAATTCTAAAATAGGTGAATACCTAAATTATGAATCTGGTTTCGAAAATAATTTTTTGTATATGCAATATATATACGTAAGCAATTTCAATATTTTGAACTTTGTTTAAATTTTATTGTTAATTTGTCTATGACAAATTTAAAATTATATTATAGTAAATAATTTAGAAAGAATCCAACTGTTTTATTTTATAAAAATTAATTTATTTTTAGCACTGTCAAATTAAATGCAAAATAGAATACAACAGTGTCAAAATAGAATGCAACAGTGTCAAATTTGAATGCAATAGTGTCAAATTTGAATGCAATAGTGTCAAAATTGATTGTAACGGTGTCAAATCAAATGTAAGGGTGTTGAAACATACTGATACAATGTTGAAATTGATTGATACAATCTGCGAATGAGGTGGCAAAACCTGTATTAAGTTAGTCAAGTACTTTGTCAATGTTGATTTGAGTGAGGTAAGAAAGGCTGAAGATTGCATCAAGTCTTATTAAACCAGACATAAAACCAGACTAGAACCATTAATAATTAAACTGGTTTTTCTTTAATGATAAAATTAACCATTTTTACTTTCATAGAACACTTTAGTAGAAACCATTTTGAGCATATTACAGACTTTTAGCACAAATAGAAATAAGTTGGTTGATAGACTTTTAAGTCAGTTTTTTTCCAAAAACAAAATAAATGCAATATTTATGCACAAGAATGCTCACTATTTTAAATTAAAGGGTATATTAATGTCAGTGGTTTCACTTCTGGTACATAAATAATTTTGAATTAAGGAGTATATTGATGTCAGTGATGATAGCTACTATTCTATTGATATTGACACTATTGATTTAATGACACTCAATCAATAAATGATGCTATTTTACAACAACTGAGTTTTCAATTTCAATTAGAAGAACAAAGGCATGGAATAAAATACTTAAAACTGAACTTAAAACTTTAACAATGTTTAATGAGTTTAAAGCTAAGCATAGACAGCTATTACTAAAGAATGATATACCATTGAAATTCCAATACCCTTATGATTGATCTAACACAAAACTAAAAAGTATACTCATTTTAGAAAAGATTGAGTTAAATGCACTTTGTAATTTTTTTTTTTATAATTAAAATTTTTTTTTTAAATTTATGTCTTGGTTTGATATTTGTTGTTATTCTTTTAATTTTAAGACTCTTAGACTCTTACTCTGTGTTCTAAAGTTTGATGTTAAAAAAAAAAAAGATAAGAAATTCGTGACTTTTCAATAAATAAAAATTAAATGTTTACATGTTTTTAGAAGAATATCAATTTATTCCGTTTTAAATCGTAAAAACTAAAAACTTTTTCAAAATAAATAAGAGAAATTGTTACCTGAGTTTGCTGGTTACTAAATTTTATAAAAAGATACTTTTCAACAAATGCTTCATGAGAATTTGCATCCTTAACCTTATGAAGTGACACTGCTAACTCACGAGAAATTTCAAATGATATATGAAGCTAAAACAAATTTGGTATCATTAATCTTCTACCTCATCATAAACTTTATTTCATCTTACAACATTTAAGTATAAAAATTACACTACAAAATTAGACAACATTTAACAAGACACTACAGACAGCTTCAACAAGACACCACAACATTCATCTTCAACAAGACACCACAGATATTTGGATAACTAAAACAAACCTGGACATTTTTGTTTGGTGACAATGTAATATTACGTTTTATTTGTTTATGTTCACCAAACTGAACAATTTTAAATGGGTGATCGATTTGACAAGAAATGTTCACCACAACATCACTATTATTAAGCAAGATGAATCGACGAACACATTGAATGGATTCCTTAAATAAAATAAAATGATAAAAAGTCAAACCCCAAAACACCAGATTAAAGGGTCACTTTTATTTGGCTGAAAAATCTGTTAGATTTGATTATAAAAAAAAACCCGGTGAATTATAGAAAACATTGAGATAATAATAAATTATGATAATAATAAATTATGAATTATAGAAAAAATTGAGATAATAATAAATTATAACCGGTGAATTATAGAAAACATTGAGAAAATAATAAATTATGAGCTGTTGAAAAAAAAAATCTGAATTATTTTTAAAAAATTTAAAAAGCTTTTGTTTTTAACTTTGATTTTTTGTGTTTATGTTAAATGCTTTTTTGCTAAATTCACTAAATTTATATGACATCAAATTTAAACTTTCAAAATTTTATTGTTTTAGTATGGAAAAGAAAGCTTATACTCTTGCCTGTTTCAATATTATAAAAAATTGATTCAAAGTTGATCAGTTATAGAACATTGACTCAAAGTACAATAAATAAAGTGATAAAAAAAAATTTATAGAATTTTAATACGAATAATAATTGAAAACTTATTTTACCTATTAAAATATTATCTTAATAGGTAAAAAAATTTTAATTTATTTTGTTAGTTGTCAAGAACACAGATTCAAACTTTTCAATAAGTTGAAAACCATTTCTTTAAGAATATGCCTTATTAACAAATAATTTTAAAGTTAATGTTGATTATATTTTATCACTTTATTCATTGTACTTTGAGTCAATGTTTTATAACTGATCAACTTTGAATCAATTTATATATATATATATATATATATATATATATATATATATATATATATATATATATATATATATATATATATATAATATATATATATATATATATCCAACCCTTGGAATTAGGTAAAATTAGGTCGGCAATAATTTACTGACTTTTTAGAATAATTTACCGATCTTTTAGAGGTCGGCATCAGGTCAAAAATTATTTGATACAAAGGTCTTACAATAAGACAAAGAAATGAGGTCGGCAATTTTTTACTGACCTCAAACACTTTAAGGTCGGCAGTTAGGTCGACTTTACCGAATGCAGACTCTAATTTTAAGGAATGTTTTTATATTGAAAGTATTTAATAAATAAATAATAGCGCAATATATGAAAAATAAGATAACGTGATATACTAAAAATTAAGATAATGTGATATTCCATGAACAGATAAAGATAACATAAAAAATTATTAAAAAATAAAAAATTATGACTAATATTATTTCAATCAAAAAAAAAAAAAAAAAAGATAAACAAAAACTTTATACATAACACGAATTAACAGCAAATGTATCTACCAACAAGGGGATTTAACAGAGAGCGTAATGAAGATTGAGGATAATTAATTATATATTCTAAAACTAACCATTGTAAGCAAACTATTACACGAAATTCGAAACATAAATCCATCATCATCATAATCATCATCACAAGGAGTTACAAGAATCCTTTAAAATAAATACATTATTTTCATAATAGAACAAAAAATAATGAAGTAAAAAAGCAAGCAAAACAAAACAAAAAAATCAAATCATGCAACAAAAAAATCACAAACTATTACTGTGATGGTTTTACAGCCCCTGTCATATTTATTGAGAATGGTAGCATATCCAGCCCATCCATTCGCTTCATCCATTCTCCATTTTTACGATCCTAAGTTTTAAAAAAAAAAGGAGTACAAATGTACAATTCAAAAATCACAATCACAAATCATCGCAGATTAAAGGTAATTTCAGATAGACTAACAATTTTTAACAAAAATTGACAAATATAAAAACATTTTTAAATGAAACTTTAAGGTTTTTTTATTTATTATTTGTACCTGTTGGCAACTGTTTTGTTATGTTGGCAACCGTTTTATAGTTATGTTAAAGAATGCTTAAGTCACTGTATTTCACTCATTACAATTAGTTTAATGTTTTTATTTTACTATAACATTTGAACATGTTAGTCAGTGGTAGACTGGCCCATCGATCCACCAGCCACCTGGCCAGTGCACAGTGGGCCATGGTGTACCAAGAGTCAAAATTATTTTTATTCAATTTTTGTATAAAAACTACTATTCAATGAATGTATATATACATAAAAACATATTTGTTGATCAAAAAATGCTCCAAAATTTCACCAAAATTTTTTAATTTTAAGATATTTACAATATTTTTTAATTTTAAGATATTAACAATATTTTTGGCGGTCAAGGGCTTTTCTAAAAAAGTTTAAAAAAATATTTTTTTAATATGTTTTGCTATTTAATGTTAGGCAATTTATATTACTACGAGTTTGAATTGTAGTTTTAATATATATATATATATATATATATATATATATATATATATATATATATATATATATATATATATATATATATATATACATACATATATATGTATATAAATATATATATATATATATATATATACATACATATGTATATAAATATATATATGTATATAAATATATATATGTATATATATATATATATATATATATATATATATATATATATATATATATATATACACATATGTATATATATATATACACATATGTATATAAATATATATATGTATATAAATATATATATGTATATATATATATATATATATAAAAATATTTTTACATCAAAATATATTTAAAAATAGTTATACGCTGCCTTTTTATTAAAATCAACTTACATATTAAATATATATATATATATATATCGTATAACAAGAAATGACTTTTAAAGATATATATTTATATATATATATATATATAACATATGTATATATTGTTATATACATATGTTATATATATATATATATATATATATATATATATATATATATATATATATATATATATATATATATATATATATATATATATATATATATATATATATATATATATATATATATATATATATATATATATATATATATATATATAGAACATATGCAGAAGATATAAAGTCAGTATCCAACCAATTTGCATACTTTTTCTCAAATGCTGCAGCTTTGCGGCTAACATCATTCCAACGAGTTTTCAAGTTCTTTAAGAATGCAATTAATTTGTTTCTAATAATTTCAGATTCATCCAAGTCTAACTTGACAACTAATTATTCATAAATTGTGGGAACTTGTATAGACATATTATTGGATCTAATGCAATTGTATATATAATTTTTGCATTGTTATATTGTTATTTATTCTAAAAATAGAAAAGTCAACCTATATATATATATATATATATATATATATATATATATATATATATATATATATATATATATATATATATATATATATATATATATATATATATATATATATATATAAATAGGTTGACTTTTCTATTTATATAAAATAGAAAAGTCAACCTATATATATATATATATATATATATATATATATATATATATATATATATATATATATATATATATATATATATATATATATATATATATATATATATAAATAGGTTGACTTTTCTATTTTTAGAGTAAATAACAATATAACAATGAAGTACTATTATATGAGCCCATAAGAGTAAAAGTGGACCAAGTCCATATTTCTATATTGTTAGAAATAAGCGTTGTTAGTGTTTGCATATATTATAAATCAGCCATATGTAATATTATTGATGTCTAGTATCATTTTAAATCTTTTTTCTTAGACAACAAGATATGGGAAATGCACAAATAAATTTTTGAATAATTATTAATAATATAATAATAGTTATGGACTTGGTCCATTTTTTTCTAAACATAATCAACAAATCAAAAATAGTCCTCATTATTACAAACAGTACAATAAAAACCACACAAATTTACTGATCATCATCGCCGCTGTTATCGAGCAGTTCATCTTCTAGTACATCCTTGTTGTGACCGCTGTGTTCCAACTTTTGATAGAAGTCATGATAGATGGGAGGAATTATAAGATCCGAGTATTTTTCTTTGCTCAGTTTTGTTGCTTCACAGTACAGTGGAGCCAAACTCACTTCACTAAGATTCGTTTGACACCCGCGTTTCGCTAGCCAAATGAAACTGAATGATGCGTCATCATCTAAAGAGTATTTAAAGAACAGTTTGTATGGCTCGTTCTTTCTAAGTTGCAGCCATTGCATATCCAGCCAGTTGACCTTCTGATCACTCTCATCCACTTTCTGATTTGTAATTATTTCAATAAGGGCTCCACACTCTTGAAATTATCAGTGCTTAATCTTGCAACACTGAAGCGCTTCTTCATAGAGCAGTTCTCGATCAATTTGTACCACTGTTCTGGCACGAAGATCTCTGTGGATTTTGGTTTTGCTCTCTCAATTATTCCAAAATCTGCATCGTTAGGCAAATAAGAATGCCCAGAGACCATAAACTTATGATTCACCAGTTCAATACTCGTCGTCTGCGTCAAATGCATCCATAACAGTGCAATTTTTATATTTCGATTTTGGCCGCCGCACGAGTCGCTGAATGCTGTAATAGACGTACTATCCCTATTTGCCAGATTTTGACAATATGCCAATAAGCATGAACCGATCTCACCTGCACCTCATGAGGCTGTTCCCTCATGCCATACATTCATCACTGCATTGTCATTTTTAAGGTCATGAATGCCTAGATTATACACTGATAATTGCCGGCAATAATAAACTTCATTGGTTGTAAGGCAAGGCAATGACATGACCTTTTGCAGGTCAAAACAAAAAGATGCATGTTTATTGTCTTCATTTTCCTTTTCTAGTTTTAAGGATTGACGCGCCTTCTCTGCTTTGCGCAAATAAATCTCATGCACTGCTTTTAGTTGAGATTTTTTGTGTTCAGTTTTTTCTATTTCAATGTCTGTTTTAAAAATGATGGAACGTCAAGTTAAATTCATGATTAAAAATGTCCAGAAATTTCCACTCTTTTTGGGGTTCGACTGAATCCTGTATGCACTTTTCTCTATACATGTCGTACATAGTGGATACCGTCAAATGAGCAGGTAGAAAGCGGCGAGATGCACTGTGACTTCTAGTATAGTGACTTTCGTATGTGGGAAACATGCGAATATGATCTTTAATGCGAGTGATGTGTTCCTCATGAATGCGTTGTGTCTTGTGATCATATTTTCCTCTTCCATCTTTGCCTGACACACCACCATTCTCCCGTTGGTTGACTAATGCACGATTTAGTCGACCTCTGCTAATGTCAAATATCGCCAAGAAGTATGGTTTGCAAACAGTAACGGGCTTATTATCTGCAAACACAGAGTATACTCGTGCAAAATCCTTTGCATGTTTTTTTTTTTATTTTTCATAATTTTGTTTTTTCTTACTCTTGGTCGTCTACGTTCTACTGTTGATTGTTTCACGCAGCCAGCAAGAAACAGATTTTGTGCATCAAAATCTCCCAATTTCCAGAAATTTTCAAACAGAGTTTTAGTCTGCTCTAAAGTCAAATTTTCAGCTCATTTGTTTTTGCAACTGTGATTTATTAAATAATGTTCGTTTAATTTCTTAGCTTTTTGTAACGTTCCGCTATGCTTTACATATTCGCTACCTGTATTTCGTAAGCGCTTAATCACATTATTCTTCCAGTTCGTTACACAACGTTTTCGTTTTCGAGGGCATTGATCGGTTACAATCGGAGATTCAGTTGTTACAATCGGAGATTCAGTTGTTACAATCGGAGATTCAGTTGTTACAATTGGAGATTCAGTTGTTACAATCGGAGATTCAGTTGTTACAATCGGAGATTCAACTGCTACAACCGGTGAATTATCGGCTACAATCGGAGATTCAGCTGCTAATGTAGAACGTTCTGTCTGTATATCTGCTGCAACTGTTGTATCTGTAGCTAGAGATCTCTGAACCTTCTTGCACTTTATCAATGCCAGTGACACCATGTGTGCGGCTCGTGAATGCATGTTTACACTATTCTACAATAAATATTTTTTAAATATTACATACATTCAGAATATTATTAGAAAGAATAATGTACATGTACACAACATGCATGCAAGTGCTCCCCTAGCTAGATGTTATTAAAGCCGCAAAATTGACCTTTCTAAAGAGGCTGTAACTTTGGTAGTGACAGACCATTATATCTACTGTCTAACAAATCAATATTTATATTCCTGCTGAGAGCAATTGAATAAATCTTATATTATCGCTCACCAAACTATTTCAGTTTTGTCACTTTATAAAGTGTGAAAGTGCTGTATACTTCACTATATTAATATAAAACCATAATCAGATATTGATTTAAAGCATCTTACCTGATCAAACATCAAACATCTTACAAATGTTATTCTTGTTCTAATATAATAATAATAATTCTAAGAAAATTTGTAGTTTATGTGGTCTTGAATCTTGATTTCTTACATTAATGCACTATCAATGGACTTGGTCCACTATTACTCTCTATATCTGGTGATTTATTGTTAGAGTAAAAATGTGCTGCCCTCTGTTGAATAAGAAATAAATGTGTTATGGTCTTGGTCCATTTTTGCTCTAAAAATATAGCAAATTTTTAGCAGTTTTACATACATAAGGGTCATTTGAAAAAAATTGGACTTGGTCCACTTTTACTCTCATAGACTCATATATACAATTGCATTAGATCCAATAATATGTCTATACAAGTTCCCACAATTTATGAATAATTAGTTGTCAAGTTAGACTTG